ACCCTGTCTCTCAGAATCCCCTCCAACAACTCACCTATCATTGATGTCAGAGTCACAGGGCTATAGTTCTCATGCTTCTCTTTACAGCCTTTCTTAAATAAAAGCTTAACATTAGTCACCAACCAGTCCTCCGGCACTTCACTAGTGGCTGTACTTCACCAGTGGCTGTAGATGATACAAATATCTCTGTGAGGGGCCCTATAATTTCTTCCCTAACTTCCCACTTTGTCCTGGGATACGCTTGATCAGGTCCCAGAGATTTATCCAACTTTATGTTTTTTAAGGCCTCCAGCACTTGCTCTTCTGTAATGTGGACTGTTTCTAAGACATCAATATTTATTTCCCCCAAGTTCCCTAACCTCTATTTCATTCTCCACAGTAAAAACTGACGCGAAGTATTCATTTAGTATCTCTCCCATCTACTGTGGTTTCACCCGTAGATGACCTTGTTAATCTTTAAGGGGCCCTATTTTCTCCCTAGTTGCTCTTTTGCTTTTAATGTACTTGTAGAATCTCTTTGGATTATCCTTAACCTTATCTGCCGAAGCTATCTTGTATCCCATTTCTGCCTCCTGAGTTCCCTCAAAGAATGCCTCTACACCGCTCATACTCTTCAGGAGATGCACTTGATCCCTATTGTCTATACCTAACATATGACTCCTTCTTGACCAGAGCCTCAATATCTTTATTCATCCATTGTTCCCTACTCTTACCAGCCTTACCCTTTACTCTAACAGGAACATGATGCCTCTGAACTCTTGTTGTCTCACTTTTGAAAGCCTCCCACTTGCCAGTCATCCCTTTACTTGCATACAGTCTACTCAAATCAACTGCTGAAAGCTCTTTCTCATATCATCAAAGTTTGCTTTACTCCAATTAAGAACTTTAACATTTATCCAAGGCCTATCCTTTTCCATAACTATTTTAAAACTATTTGAATAATGATCAGTGGTCCCAAAGTGCTCCCCCCCTAACACTTCAGTCATCTGCCCTACGTTATTTCTCAACAGAAGGTCAAGTTTTGCTCCTTCTTTAGTATTTTTGATAATAAAACTTTTCTTGAACACTTAAATTCCTCACCATGCCTGACAAATTTATTATAATTCTTTGAAGATGTAACAAGGAAGACTGATAAAGGAGAAGCAGTGATGTAATATATTTGGATTTCCAGAAGGTGTTTGATTGCGTGCCACATATTAGGCTACTGAATAAAATTAGACCTCATGGAGATGAGAATCGTTATTTAAATACTTGGAGGATTGGCTAGCTAATAGAAGACAGAGGGTTGGGATGAGAGAATTGCAACCAGCAATTAGTGGAGAGCCACAGTGATCAGCGCAGGGGCCATAACTATTTTAAAAATATATTACTGACTGGATGAGAGTAGTGAATATATTATTGCTAATGCTGAAGATGACACAAAAACAGATAAAAGGCAAGTGGTGAGACACAAAGTCCCTAGAGGAATAGAGACAGATTAACTGAGCACAAGCCAGGCGTGTGATGGAACTCTCCCCCACTTAGGTGGATGAGAGCAGCTTCAATGACACTCAAAGCCTTATGCCATCCAGGACAAAGCTCACCAGGTTGGTACCATATCACTCCCTCAAATTACTGATTCCCAATAGCAGCAGCGTGTTTACCATATACAAAATGGACTGCAAAACTTCAAGGTTCATTAGACAAAACTTCCCAAACTCATGACCAGTACCATCTATAAGAATAAGGGCAACATATAATGGGAACACCGCTACCTACAAGCTCCCCTCCAATCTAATCACTATCCGGATATGGAAATGTATCGCTGTTCTTTGTGTGGCTAAGTCAAAATCCTGGAACCCCTTCCTGCCCTCCCTAACAACATTTTTACACCAAGTGGATTGTAGCGGTTCAAGATGGTAGCTCACTTCCACCTCTCAAGGGCAAATAAAGAACGATGGGCAATAAATGCTGGCCCAGCCTACCACGCCAGAACACAGAAGTGAATTTAAAAGTAAAGGCAGTATCGTGGCGCAGTGGTTAGCACTGCTCCCCTCAGTGCCAGGGACTTGGGTTCAATTCTATCCATGGGTGTTTCTGTGGAGTATGCACATTCTCCCAGTGACTGCGTGGGTTTCCTTCCACAATCCAAAAAATGCACAGGTTAGGTGGATAGACCATGGTAAATTGCCCATTGGTGTCCAAGGATGTGCAGGCTGGGTGGATTAGCATGGGAAATGTGGCATTACGGGGATTTTGGGGTTGCCGGGTCTGGGTGGAAAGTCCTTCGAAGGGTCGGCGCAGACTCAAATGGGCCAAATGCCTTCTTTCCTCACTGTATGGGTTCTGTGATTCTGAGAGTGGGCAGAAACTTGGCAGTTGGAATATAATGTGGAAAAATGTGAGTTTATGCACTTTGGCAGGGAGATTAGAGAAGCTGAATATTATTTAACTGGAAGAAGCTGCAGAAAGCTGGGAATCCATGTGTATGTATCATAAAAAGCTAGCATACAGATTCAGCAGGTAATCGGGGGACCAAATGGAAATGTTGGTCTTCATTTCAAAGGGAATGAAGTAGAAATATAGGCAAGTCTTACTAAAACTATATACACCACAGGTTAAACCACCAGAATACTGTGAACGGTTTTGGTCTCGTTATAGAAGGGAAAATTACTAGCACTGAAGGTGGACCAGAGTAGGTTTACTTGGCGATTCTCTTATGAGGAGAGTCGAGTAGGTTAGGTTTGTATACACTGTAGTTCAGAAGAATGATAAGCGACCATAGTGAAACATACAAGATTCTTAGAGGGCTTGGTAAGATAGATGTGTATGTAAGATAGAGGTTGTTTCTCTTATGGGGGAATCTAGGACTAGAAGGCATAATCTCAGAATAAAGGGTCACCTGGTTAGGACAGAAATGAGGAGGAATTTCTTGTCTGAAAGTAGTGAATCTATGGAAGTATATTCGAGGCTGAGACAGCCTTTTAATCTGTAAGGGAATCGAGGGTTTTGGGGAAAGGCAGGAAAGGGAAGTTGAGGATCATCAGGTCAACCACAATTTCATTGAATGGCAGAACAGAGTCAATGGGCTGAATGGCCTACTTCTGCACCTACGTCTCATGATCATATCTATATTCTCATATCTAGAACATTAACCTTTACGTTCAAGTAACTCCATGGTTTAACCAGTCATAACGCAGATTTATCTCAAAGGTTATCAAGATGTGTGACTAGCTTCCAGTATAAGCATTTGCACACCCATTATTTGATATTGAACACTGACAGGACAAGTCAAAGACTGTAGAGTAGTTGAGAGAAGTTAAATAGAGCAGGGGACGGTCAGTGTATGTGTGGAAGCAGATTTTGTACTTGCAGATGAGTAAAATTTGTATTTTGTTTATTCAGCCATGATCATTGTTTATTAAATAGAAAGGGATACATTTATTGATTGAATTGTTTTAAAGATCAACCAATGTTTCTAGCAATCCGTCAGAAAATCATTGCTGCCAGATCCAGGACATTTTTCCCTTAATGCCCTTCTCCCTCACATTGCTTACACAATCTAAAAGTCAACTCTTAATTCCACTTGTAATTCTGCCAAGCCCATGTTCCCCGTTACACTGATAAAAAGAAAAATGTCATTACACGTCATCAAACATCATCCACATCTTAAAACTGTTCACTAGTGCTATTAATAATACTTCAATATTTCCCTCGCCTATACTGCAAAATATTAACTCTTGCTTCTAACATAATTTTTCTTACATGAGTCATTATTTAAACTCAGTTTTAAAATTAGACAGAGGTTAATTGATTAGGTAAAGAAATTTATACAGAAAGTGGACTTCACCTTAAGGTTTATATTAAAAAAAGTGAGGGGATTTTTTCAGTATTGGTGAGGAATTATTTGAATGGCCAACGTTGAAATATGGCAGCATTTGAAGAGCTGATTCTCCAACTGAGCTTCTCTCAATTAATACCATCAAAAAGATGTTTGGTCTTTCAGGAGAAATTCATCCTCATTTCACACAGAATAAAATTGGTGCCCCTTTATTCTGAAATTGTGCCCCCTCGTCCTAGATTTTTCCATGAGGGGTAACAGCCTTCCAGCATTTACTTTGTCAAGTGCCTTAGGAATTCTATGTGTTTCAATAAGATCACCTCTCATTCTTCTAAACTCCAATGAATCGAATCCCAACCTGTTTAGACCTTGCTCATAACACAATCACTCCATACCAGGAATTACTCTGACAAACCTGCTATGAACTGCCTCCAAACTGGGACCAAAACTGCTCACAGTACTCCAGATGTGGTCTCACCAACACCTTGTACAGTTGCAGTAAGACTTCCTTACTCTTATATTCCAACCCTTGAAATAAGGGCCAACATTCCTTTAGCCTTTCTGATTACCTGCTGCACCTGTGCGCTAGCTTTCTGTGTCACCACACTTCAAAATAATTCACTGTTTTTGCAATGCTTGGTGACATTTATGAGAAATGTGACAAAGGTGCAATATAAAGCATCTGACAAGAATCCCATGTAAAAGTGACAGAAAAATTGCTCAGTATTAGAACTGTAATGAATAATTGCTTGGTGATATCCTTAAGTAAGGCTAGAAGTATGAAAGCAGTAAACCCAGACAATAAAATATAGGGCTGAACACCATCATAGGAACAATTCATGATGAATATCCCAGGTTTGAAAACATGTACTCATTGAGATTGAACTATGACCAAAGTTTCATCACATAGAAGTACAACTTAAAGAATACCCAACTGAGTCAGAGATAGTAAGGACTGCCGATGCCGGAGTCCGAGATAACACAGTGTGGAGCTGGAGAAACAGAGCAGGCCAGGCAGCATCAGAGGAGCAGGAAAGCTGATGTTTCGGGTCAGGACCCTTTTTCTGTTGTGTTCCTCCAGCTCCACTCTATGTTAACCCAACTGAGTCAAACTGCTCTAGAACAGTTTCCTCCAATCCTAATTGTAGGATGGAACAGACCAAACCCGCTTCATAGTTACCTGTTCTTTGATCTCTTGCAGTCTGCGACTCTGTTCCTGAATGTCCTGCAACAGTTGGAGTGCTTTGTCATCCTCCTGAGATACCTCCACACGTGCCTGTTCAAGACTGCGCTTCAGGCTCTGCAAAGAGTCAGAATCACAACATCAGACAGGCAATCAGGAAACCGAAGAATATTGTGAAATAGCAATAATCAGGCATGGTGACATAGTTCTTGGAATTCCAACCCTTGAAGTAAATAAAATCTCATTGTGTCCTTTTCCTGAAACCATACGTCTTGTTCCAGATTTCCCAGCCAAAAGAAGCAATCTGTCAGTATCTGCTGGTTAGCTCAGTTGGCTGGACGGATGGTTTGCGTTACAGAGTGATGTCAATGTGACGTCAGCATTCTCACATCAGCTGAGGTTACAATGAAGGAGGTACTATTCTAAAGAACAGTCTCTCGACTCAAAACATTAATTCTACTTTCTCACCACAGATGCTGCCACACTGAGTTTCTTCAGAAATTTGTTTCTGTTCCGTGAAAGACTCTCCTTCTCAACTTCTCCCCTTGCCTGATGCATGGTGACCCTCAAGTTAAATGCCCAACTAACTCTCTCTAATGAGGGAGCAACCCTATCGTCTTCTGGGACTATGGCAACTTTAACTATCATGCCCTTCAAACCTTGAAACATGTTGCATGTGTAAATGTTGCAGTGAGATCACCTCCAATTCATTCAAACTAGGAAGAATGTGGACCAAATTTACTCAGCCTCTCATCACTGGACAACCTTTATATCCTAGGCACCAATCTGATGAAGCTCTACTGTGCTGCCTTCAATGCAAGTACTTCCTTCGTTAACTGTAGAGGTCAAAGCAGCATGCAATATTTTGGTGTCACCAAAGTCCTGTGGATTTGCAACAAGTAGTAAGACATCTTTACCATTGTACTCCAAATCCTTTGACTGTAATATGGGCCACCAAGCTTTCCTACTTGTTTACTGTACCTACATACTAACCTTTTTGAGATTCCTTTACAAATTCACCCAAGTCCCTCTGAACATCAATGTTTATACGTTTCATGCCTTTTAAAAATTCTGCTTTTCTACTCTTACACACCAATGTGAATAGCCTCACAGTTACACTCCATCTGCCATTTTGATGCACACTCAATTAACCTATCCATATCTATTTGCAGCCACTGTGTCCTCCTCACAGCTTGCATTTCCACCTCGTCACAGCAAACGTAGATGCATTACTCAGTCTTTTTGTCTAAGTCATTAATACAGACATTAAACAGCTGACAGCCCTTATGGCACTCCATTTATCACAACTTATCAATTTGACAATACCTGATTTATGTCTATTCTCTGCTTCCTGACCATTAACCAATCTTTAATCCATGCTAACATGTCATTCCATGGGCACTTACCTTGTGCCTTAACCTAATGGAAATCAAAATCTACAATATCTACTGATTCCTCAGTGTCCAGCTTACTATCTCAAAAAATGCTAACAAATTTGTCAAACAGGATTACCTGTTCATAAAATGATGTTAATTTGGCCTAATCTTATTATTTTTTTTAAATTATAATAGATTCTAGCAATTTCCCGATGACTGTTGTCAGGTTGAATTGCCTGTTCTCAGTTTTCCCTCTCCTTGCTTTCTTGTATAATGATATTATATTTGCAAACTTCCAATTCTGGGACCATTTAGAAAGTTACTTTTTGGAAAATCACAGCTAGCGCATTCATGACGTATACAGATGTCCGTTTGAGAACCATAGCAGGCAGGTCAAGAGGCCCAGAGGACTTGTCAAATTTTAGACTCCTAAGTTCCTCTAACGCTTATTCTGTATATCAAATTGATATCAAATTTCCTCACTTTTACCAAATCCCTAGGTTATGCTGTTTTTGGCATGTGACTTGTATCAGTACTCAAAGTAAAAACCACAAAATATTTATTTAAACACACTGTCATTTCCTTGCTCCTCATTTATCCTGTCTCTGCCATTAAGAAACCAATATTTAGCTACTCTCACCTTTTTAGATACTGTAAAATCTCTAAAAATTTATTTTCTAAATTATTTTATTCATTCTATATTTTCCCTTACTGACTTTATTTTGTGGCCCTCGTTGCTTTCTAAAATGGTCCAAATCCTTAATCATCTGACTATTTTGATCAAAAGCCTATTCTTTTAATCTCCTTTGTAAGCCACAGACTGATCTTTTTGGTTGAGTTTTTATTTCACTATAGCAGACATTTCTGCTGGACATTGAATTGTTTCTTTAAATGCTTCCCCCAATTTATTTACCACCAAACTTTCACCAGCTCTCTCCTCAAGCCTATGCAATTGGCTCCACGATTCTTATTTGTATTTGGAGTATGTGGTTTTGAATTTAATCTGCAGTTTAATTGTAATGTAATCACTATTTCCGAGCAAATCCTTTAAGACATTACATATCAATCCTGCCTCATTGCACAATATGAGGTCTAAAATAACTTTATCCTGTGTTGATTGCATAAAATATCACTCCAAAAAACTGTCACAAGAGTATTCTACAAACTGATTTTCAGAACACAGTCTATATAAAAAATTAAGTCCCCTACAACTATTAATCTGCCCTGGTTAAAAGCTTCAAAAAAAATAAAAATTATTGCCTAATACTCTGTCCAACCATATAGCAGTTAAGGAACTTATAACCTGTTCCCACCAGTGTTTTTGACCCTTGCTATTCCTTATCTCCACCCATATTTCCAGATGTTTCGAGATAAGATCCTTTATCACTCTTGTACTTATCATCTTTTGTAATCCTTGGTATTACTTCTCCTTTTCCAAGCCTATCTTTTTAAATGTGGTATACTCTGGAATATTTATTTCCCAGTCTTGGTCACCTTGCAATCTTGTGTCTTTAATGGTGATGAGAGCTAAACCAGTTATCTTCAATTACGTCACAACTTCATCTACCTTATTGTAGACACTACACACATTCCGATAAAGTGACTTCATTTTGACTTCACTTACCGCTGCCATGAGTATCAGGTTACTCGCTTTTAAAAGCGTGCATCCAATTTTGGCTTTTAAAACACCTCTTTCGATTTCAGGCCACAATTTTAAAAAGCACAAAAATGAAAACAAACAGCTGTTATACTACTCTGACTGTACTTTCCGATACATCTACTCTTACACTTATACATTCTGTTCCTCCTGTCACACTCTGGTTACTATTAACATTATCACTTCCCAGAACTATTGTCTTGTCTTTTCCCTCTAACCTACCAAATCTCCTTTCACACAACCTTTCCCCACACAACCAATATTTAATGTCTCCTTTCTAGCCCTAATTATTACAACTACTATTTAAGTCATCAAACCAAACACCCAAGCAAGGTAGTAGGTCCTGTAATAGGTGCGAACTAATCAGTCAATTAAAAGTATCCTGGAATAAGGTGGACATGCTAACCTTATGTGTTCCCCAGACTTGCCTGAGCTTAGTTCTCTTCTTGACCTACAGTTGAAGACTTACCCTTTCAGAGTTCTTTAGATCAGATCTGACAAGTGAATACACTAATAACAGCAACCATTCATTAAATTGAAATGGGCACTCAGGACTGAAATGCTAACCTAGTAGACACTGCAATAAAAGTCCACTGTCCTTAAAGCTTAATAGGTAATAATATTGACAGAAGTTGTTTTGGAAAGCGGAGTCTAAATTTGCGCTAAATTCACTGTATGCTATGCAATAAAACTTTTCAGACAAGAAGTGCCCCAGTTCAATTCCTAACTTCGTGCTGAGTCTGGTAATCCCAGAGAGGGTTTGATATAATCAAAATATTCATTCGGTTGGAAAAAAAAATTGTGCTTCCGTTTTATATAAACGTTAAACAGACTATGGGAAAACTGTGCCCATGACAAAGATCAAGCTCTACTACAGTGACTCTTCATATTTGAATAGACTATTGTTAATCACTGTCAAAGTTCATATAGGAGAATCACTGGGGTGAGGTACCAGAGCATTGACGATGCCATGAAACCTTAGCCATTATACATAACATTATAAATAACGTTCAGGAAATAAGGGAGAATAAAAGAAGGACAAAGTCAACATTTTGTCATAAAGCAACAAACATTTGCATTGTGGAAATAAAGTCCACTAGATTAATGTAATTATATCGATACAAAGCATATGGGGTAAACAAGTTAAAGAGAAACATTTCAGTCCATGGCAAGACAAACTGAGCCAACCAACACTGGTTCAGTTTGTACCAAAATTCAATATTTTTCCTGATGATGTTTAAAAATTTACATCAGTCCTACACATACTTTCTATTTTTGTTTATGAATAAAATAGATTACACTTAGATATACAGCATTTTTAACATAGCAAAATTATCAAGATGTTTAATGAGAGCATTGTTGGATAAAATTTGCTACCAAGAAACACAAGAAGATGTTAGAAAGGTATCCAAAGTTTGGCCAGACAGATAAATTTTAAAGGAGCACATTAACCAAGAATAGAAAGAAAGACTTCCAAAGTTAGGGTTGAGGGACCTGATGCCATGATAATGGTCATTGCACCCAGGAAAATTAGAGGTGTTTAAAATCTAGAACAAGCTGAAGTAATCTGAATATCGTCCTTAGACACAGTTCAATAAACAGTAGCTTCTGCTTACACTACACTCTGTTATATACGTGGCTAAGTCTTGTTCCAGGATTGACTTCTGGGTTTCAGATGCTTTAAGTTCCACATGCTTTTGCTCAAGTGCTGTTTCCAGCTCAGAAAGTTTACGTTGCAAATGGGTAACTTCTTGATCCATCTGAAAAATAAGAATCAAATAAATACATCACTAACACACTAAATAAAAAAAATCCAAAAGAATTGCAGCTGCTGGAAATCAAAAACAAAAACAGAAATTGCTGAAAAATCTCAGCAGATCTGGCAGCAGCTGTGGAGAGAAATCAGAGTTAATGTTTTGTTAACTCTAATCTGGCATCAGCTGGCAGATCTGCTGAGATTTTTCAGCAATTTCTGTTTTGGTCACTAACACACCAAGCCAGTTGCCCAATATATCCCAAACTTGTGAGTGATGGTGGTTATTGCAAGAAACCACATTTTTTTTTGGTCTGGAAGCTGAAATGAAATGAAGTGAAAACCCAGGGAGTCTTGCAATTTAAAAATGAAATGTGCACATTGTTAAGCTGTGTGCTATGTTGCTACTTTGTGGAAACAGTGAGAGGAAAAAGTTGTGACTGAATGGCAAGGAATCATTCAAGTTAAAGAAATACTCTCTCATAACAGCCATCTGATTGGTTGAACTGCAGAGTATTAAAAGCTGTAAGGGTCAAAAGCAGAAGTGTGGAAAATCCATCCAATTCCTGCAGACAGAAAGCATCCTTCACTCCTTTGCTGTGAGGAAAAGCAAAAAAAACACCAGAAAACCTTAAAAGAAATAATTCATATTAAAAAAACACGTTCACCTGATCAACCAGCAAATTGAAGAAGAACCTTACTCTATAGACAATAGTGATCATCACTGCAAAAATCAAAGGATTGAGGGAAAACTAACTTTCAACCTTGTGGTCCGGACTTATGATCTTCAGAATTTTCTTTAACTGGTCTACATTTCTTTCCACCATAGAATGCAGGTTAAACAGTTTGTCTTTTATCTATCTTAATCGTGATTGTGTGTGCGTGTATATTTGAGGTCTTGAAGGAGTACAGTTTAAGTTTCATAAGTTAGTAAACCTTTCTTTTCAGTACTCTTGTTAAAGTCAAGTCTATTACAATAAATTGCGTTTTTTTTCTGCTACTGAAGAAACCTGGTGTGAATTGTTTTTGTCTGGAGTAGCATTTGAGCAAATTGGTCATTTTGGTGATTTCATTGGGATTTTATACATTTAAACATATTGTAGAATAATGAGGAATGATTGTAGACACACTCTTCCCAGTTAAGTTTTGGCAAGACTGCATTTCAAGTTCTACTTTTGACTATCTTTACTTTGAAAGAAGTTATAAGTGCCTTTGAAGGAGGCCACTGGTCTACATCTATCTTAGCTTATCATTCTACTAAAACATCTACAGACTTTCCTTCATTATAATATGTGAATTCTCTGATATATCATTCCTAGGTTTTTTGCATCTGTGACCCTATTCATGTCATGTAAAGAAATCCCGGCTTCAGGCCATTCGCTATTTGATCCTGCGCTCTCCTGTACTAAGATCATAGCTTATTTAACTTGAAATGATTTTTAAACTTGCCTATTACAAACTCTCCTTTCATATACCCCTTATAAAGCCCCCTCTCCGCAAAAGCCTCAATATGAAGGTTTCATCCCATTATGCAATATTTTAATTGCAAAAATCACCACATTGACTCTTCTCTCTACCTTCCTAATTCACACATTTCCTTCATCAACTCTTGATCAAAACTGCACAAAACACTCCAAGTATTATAGTTGTGACTAAAGCAATGTGCAGTTTCCATGCAACAGCTCCAATTGTTAGGAGAGAAAGTCACAGGATATAACCATATTGTGCTGCTGGCACTGGTTGGTAGAAATCATTAGCAGCAGTTCAGAGACAGACCATATGGCAGTGAACTGAGAACAGCTGGTGTGATTCCACTGATTAAGTAGCAGGAACATAACCATGGAATCAGTTATTTTAGTGGTAGTTGGCAGGAAGGCAATATAGTACCAAAGAAACGGATTTCATCTAACTAAAAGTAACAAGATAACCAAGTCAGCAAGGCAGCACGGATTAGAGAAAGTTCTTCACCTTTGTTTAAAAGAGTTCACCAATGAAAGCTTATACTTCCAGAAACTTGTCCATGAATCCCCACTGTTGAGGCCATTGGTATTTTTCTTTTATTTTTCTCATTTTTAGCCTCGAGCCATGAATTTTGAACAGCAGTTTGTTTTCAAAAGAAAAAAGTGGAGAACAAAAGGTTGATGTTTGCTGTTGGGAATTGGCCTGGAAAGATAATGCAGGTTAATTCCTGCTTTAAAAAACACTGTAGTCAAATGGCACCAAGATGATGTTATCCTCAGTGACTGGCAGGCGATTGAATGGTGAATTGGTCAATCAAGGGAGAACTGATGCTGGCCAGTCAACCACAAAGAATGCTGAAAAAGAGAGAAAACAAAAAGTGAACAGGTGCCAATTAGGGTTTTGGGCAGGAGGCACTTTTGCTTTAGAAGCTACCAGTCTGAGAAGTGGTATTTTGGTTTTGTTCTCCCTAGTTATTCTGTTTGTTGAAAGTTCTGACAAAAGAACCCCAGTCGATAATAAATTAAGTAAAGAAGTTTCCAGAGCTCTATGGAAACAGTTTGTATTGACCAGCAAGCAAACTACACAATTCTACATGCCTGGAACACAATCCATCAAACGCTTTCATGAAAGGCTGGTATTCTTCATTGAAACAGTTATCGAACTAGCAATTTTAAAAAATTTATCCCTTAACAGTGTCTGTTTGTCGATGTGAGTATGGAGGTTTATATTCAAAGAAGATTGGACTTAGATTGTAGATATTAACTAGATTGCCTTATTAGTTATCAATGTTCTGCTTAAGTTACATTTTGATCAAGAAATTGTTAATTTTGTTTATGTTATAAACTTGGAGTGCAAGATCTGTCATTTGTAAAGTCTGGTATGGAACAATTGAGCAATTTTGAGGGTCACTAAATGTTTTGAGATCACTGTATCATTAACCAGTAACATTTGGCTGGCTTGCTATGCCTGTGCTGTAACATCTCAAACAACAAATGAAATATGTTTAGTCGCTAGTCTATTTAAAAAAAAAACACGTTTATCATGAGGAAAATAATTTAAGTCAGAAAATCGATTAGTGAAATAAAAGGTTAAAACTTGGCTCTTCAGCAATCCTACTTTTAATAACCAGTAAAATCAGATAAGCTGCACAGAAACATTACACAGATGATATGAATTTACAGATACAAGATAGCTGAAAGTGCTAATTGTCCTGAGTTTCCAATGTAACCACAGCATAATTCACACCAATTGATTCGTGTCATTTTCATGCCAATGCATCACTGCACGCAAAATTTCCTTCTGAAGCCAATTCATTTGCATTACTCTGCGCTCAAGGTAAAAAAAACCTCTCAGGTTTCTTGGGTAGTCATTGACTGCTCGTGCAAGTCAGGGACTAACTGTACATTTTAGATATAAACTTTTGTTTTTAAGAAACTGACCCTTCAGCACCCATCCAAATACTTCAAGTTCCGCTTCAATTCACTATTCATTTAAGTCATAGAAATAATACAGTCCTGGAGGAGGTATTTGACCTACCATGGACATACTAGATCTTTGAAACAGCTATTCAATTAGTTCCAGTTTGCTTCTGTTTTGTCGCAGCCCCTGAAAACACTTCCATTTCAGAGATTTATCAATTTCCCTTTTGAATATTAATATTGAAATTCCTTCCATGCCCTTTCAGGCAGTGCACTCAAGTTCAAAACAACTACGTGTAAATGTTTCTTTCCCGCACCACCTCATATTGCTTCAAATTGACTTACTTGCATCCTTTTCTTAAAACTTATTAAAATAGAACAGTACAGCACAGTATAGTACAGGCCCTTCGGCCCACGATGTTGTGCCGACCTATTATCCTACTCTAAAATCAAACTAACCTGCATACTCTTCTTTTTACTATCATCCATGTGCATATCCAAGAGTCGTTTAAATGTCTCTAATGTATCTGACTCCACTACCACTGCTGGCAGTGCATTCCACACACCCACCACTCTCTGTGTGAAGAACCTACCCCTGACATCTCCCCTATACTTTCCTCCAATCACCTTAAAATTATGCCCCCTCATGATAGCCATTTCCACCCTGGCTATCCACTCTATTCATGCATCTCATCATCTTGTAAACCTCTATCAAGTCCCCTCTCATCCTTCTTCGCTCCAATGAGAAAAGCCCTAGCTCCCTCAACCTTTCCTCATAAGACCTGCCCTCTAGTCCAGGCAGCATTTTGGTAAATCTCCTCTGCACCCTCTCTAAAGTTTCTACATCCTTCCCATAATGAGGTGACGGAACTGAACAAAATATTCCAAGTGTGGTCTAACCAGGATTTTATAGAGGTGCAGCATAACCTCACGGCTTTTAACTCAATGCCCCTGGCAATGAAAGCCAACACACCATATGCCTTCTTAACAATCCTATCAAATTGGGCGGCAACTTTGAGGGATCTATGGACATGGACGCCAAGATCCCTCTGTTCATCCACACTGCCAAGAATCCTGCCATTAACCCTTTATTCTGCATTCAAATTCAACCTTCCAAAATTAATCACTTCACACTTTTCCGGGTTGAATTCCATCTGCCACTTCTTTGCAACCAACAACAGTCCTCCACACTCTCCACAACTCCACCAACATTTGTGTCATCAGCAAACTTACTAACCCACCCTTCCACTTCCTCATCCAAGTCATTTATAAAGATCACAAAGTGCAGACCAGAATAGATCCCTGCAGAACACCACTGGTCACCGAGTTCCAAGCTAAATGCTTACCATCTACTGCCACCCTCTGTCTTCTACTGGGCAGCCAATTCTGTATCCAGACAGTCAAATTTCCCTGAATCCCATGCCTCTTTACTTTATGAATGAGCCTACCATGGGGAACCTTATCAAACGCCTTGCTAAAATCCATATACACCATATCCACTGCTCTACCTTCAATGTGCTTTGTTACATCCTCAAAGAATTCAATAAGGCTTGTGAGGCATGACCTGCCCCTCACCAAGCCACGCCGACTATATCTAATCAAAATATGCTTTTCCAAATAATCATAA